CTGCGGTGGCGCCCAATCTATGGAATGCGCTCCCCAGAGAGGTCCGCCTGGCGCCGTCGTTATTTGTTTTTCGGCGCCAGGCAAAGACCTTTTTATTTAAGCGTCATTTTAATTGTTAATATTATTTGATTTTATCTGGCCAGGGCGACTTATTTTATATTGTTATTTTTTGTATTTTAACTTAATGTTTGTATTTTACAAACATTTTAACTTAATATTATGTTAAGTTAATGTTTTAACTTAATGTTTGTATTTTAACTTGATGTTGTGAGCCGCCCCAAGGCTTCGGCGAATGGGGCAGCATAGAAATGTTTTAACAAACAAATAAATAAATAAATTTTTATGGTTTGGAGGTAGTAATGCTGTGGTTAATGTAAAAAATAATTACAAATAGAAGTAACTGCTTCCAAGTGTGCCCTTGGCATCACACTGGAAGAGAAAGGAGCAGAGAGCACAAGAGTCAAAGTTGGATACACATAATGAAAAGAATAGTTACTTGCCATGCCTGCATGTAGCCACTCAGTGTGAAAGATGATTCAGAAAAGAGGAGTTACCTTGTTAAGGGAAGATTAGGCGAAGCTGCCTTTCTGATGCAGGCAGCTGATCTGCAGTCACCTCCCCAGAAGAAAAGCCAACTGTTGTTCCACTAGTATAGCTTCTGCTGTCTTCTGCTTAGATTGGCTGACTGTGCTCTTGATTATCCTTGGTGGCCTCCTCCTCCTCATGCTGATTGGGGTGTGCTGGTGCCAGTGCTGCCCTCAGTATTGCTGCTGCCATGTGCGCTGCCCCTGCTGCCCAACACGGTGTTGCTGCAATGAAAAAGGTAAATTAGGAAACCAAGTTTCTACTCCGCTCATTTATTCCCAGAACAACCACTACACAGTGGTAATGCCTTTAGGTTGTTCTATATGCACTTCATGTGACCAGCAAGCTATTTTGATTATTCTTCTATAGGATGAGGATGTTGGGTGGACTGTAGCGAGGAATACCCTAACTTGGTACTATATCCCAAATGTACACAAATCTTAGGTGCCTCATTATTTTATATATTTTATGTAACCTATTTTTACCCTGTCATGAAGGGTGAAAAAGCCTATCAAGGAGGTTTCCAGGATAAACATTCAAATAGTAATGTGGTTCAAATGATTAATAACAGTGATAATAAAAATAAAGAGGTTCAGCCTCAGAATTTACAAATCCCCTAAAAAAAAATCTAAAAACCATAAGCAGCCTGATAAAGCTCTTGAAGGAACCACCAAGAACATTAATACATTTAACAAATAGAGGAGAATTCTCCTGACTACCCCTCCCTTTTCTTACTGGCTGCCCTGCCCTTATTCTCCTAGTATGGAGAATTACATCCTGGAGATGGCACCCCAGACAGAAGTCGCTATGCTCCCTGCTGTGATTGATGGCAGAGCAGCATCTGCAACAGCCTTTCCCAAGCTGGTGACTCATCTCACATAGTTGTTGCCATTATACATGCTGGCTGGGGAGAATGAGACTTGTAGTACAGCAGATTTAGAAGGTTCCAGGATGGGACAGATTGACAGATTGGTCTGCCCTATTGAAGCTTCCTTCCTGCTGTCAGATACATTTGGGGTAAAGGAAACAATGGGGCTATGATTGGTGGCAAGGCTTGAAGGCCTGGCCACACTTGCATTGCTGTAATTGGCAGCATGAACAAATCATTTTCCTTGAACCCAAGGACCCGCCCACCACCGTATATTTGACTTGCACTGTCTTGTGACTAATTTTGCAAACCAGAAAAAACTTGGATATGATTTGAGTACATCTCAGGTATAAAATTGATTGCTTTTTCTGCTCCTTAGTCCTGGAACGGCATCACTTCATGAAGCAAGCTAAACAACTTTTGCCATGGATGACACATCCCTCCCAGTCATCTTCATACCAACTAAATCCACTCTTACAGAGAGGTAGGGCTGTGGTTACAGGTCCAAAAAAATGTTGCCTCTTTAATGAAATCTTTTGGTTGTATGCTGGCATGGGTGGGCAGAAGGTAGTTCTCTCAGTGTTTTGAACTTCCAACTCCCAGAAGCTCCTGCCAATGGTCAGGAATGCTGGGAGATCTACTTTCTGTCTACCCTTGGACTAGGGTGCTTATGGTTTGACTCCATAATGCCACTTCTCCCAGAAGTGAGAGAAGATTGAAGGACTTCAGTCTGACTGCTTAGAAGATTTTAAGGTTTAAATCCATTCCATGCATTGACCCAACTGGCCAGTAAAAACAGGTAATGGGGATATCTTGACAGAATTTATATTGGAATATTACTGTTTTACAAAGATTTTAGTCCTTTTCTCCAGTGGTATAAGCTTAGAAAAGAGTGGGCAATACCTAGTGAAATCTGAGAGGGCCAAGGGATATGGGGATACTCTGTCCTTTACCAGTCACAAAGTCCAGTGTGGTGACTACTGTTTTTGCCAGCTCACTATTTTATCTATTTTATTTAAAACATTTATATGCTATCCTTCATGACAACATCTCAGGATGGTTTACAGCATTAAAATCAAAATCCAATAAAAACAATACAACACTACAATGACATAATATATAACCAATAAAAATAAATCAAACCAAAAGTGAATGTAAACCATTAACATGCTAATTTTTAAAATAACGCTTAGATAAAAAGGTTTTGACCTGGCACTGAAAAGAATATAGGCTTGGCGCCAGGCGAACCTCTCTGGGGAGTGCATTCCACAATCTGGGCACCACCGCAGAGAAGGGCCTACTCCAAGTAGATGTCCTTTTTACCTCCTTCAGGGAGGGTTCCTGGAGCAGGGCCTCTCCCACACATCATAAGGGGTGTGAGGCTGTATAAGGAAGGAGATGTTCCTTCAGGTATCCTGGTCCCAAGCTGTTTAGGGCTTTATCGTTCAAAACCAGCACCTTGAATTGGGCCCAGACTTCAACTAGAAGCCAGTGGAGCTAGTAGAGGACCGGCATTATATGAAAACGACTGGTCCCTATCAGCAGCCTGGCAGCAATATTTTGTACCAGATGAAGTATCCAGACCATTTTCAAGGGCAGCCCCATGTAGAGTGCATTACAATAATTTAACTGGGAAGTTACCAGTGCATGTATCACTGTTGCTACGCAGTGCTCGTCCAGGTAAGGATGCAGCTGATGGACCAGCTGAAGCTCTAGGAAAGCACTCCTTGCCACCGCCACCACCTGGGTCTCGAGTGACAGCTCCGGATCAAGGAGTACTCTCAAGCTGTGGACCCTGTCCTTTAGAGGGAGTGCTACCCCGTCCAGGACAAGGTCAAAATCACTTACCTGAAAACCCAAACTGCCCACCAACAGGATTTCCATCTTATCTGGATTGAGGCTCAGTTTATTGGCCCTCATCCAGCCCATTACTTCAGCCAGGCACCGGTTCAGTACAGCCCACCGCCTCATTTGGAGTAGATGTAAATTAGAGGTGGAGCTGAGTATCATCAGCATACTGATGATTACGCAGCCCAAACCTCCTGATGACCCAGCAGTTTCATGTAGATGTTAAAGAGCATGGGGGACAAAATAGAGCCCTGCGGAGCCCCATGGCAAAGCTGCCATAGCACAGAGCTATAGTCCTCCAGTACCACCTTCTGGAGTTGGCTGGCCAGGTAGGAGCGGAACCACCGCCATGCAGAGCCTCCTACTCCCCACTTGGCCAGCCTATCCAGAAGGATACCATGGTTGATGGTATTGAAAGCCGCTGAGATGTCCAGGAGAGCCAACAGGGACACACTCTCCCTGTACAGCTCATTATACAGGGCAACCAAGACAGATTCAGTAGCATAACTGGGTCGGAAGCTGGACTCAAATGGGTCCAGATAATCTGCTTCATCCAAGAGTGCCTAGAGTTGTCCCACCACCACCCACTCTAACACCTTGCCCAAGAATGGGATGTTGACCACTGGTCTATAATTAGTGGCCACCTCTGGATCCAGAGACACCTTTTTCAGGACAGACTGGATCACTGCCCCCTTCAAGCGTGCAGGATCCTGGGCCTTCCTCGCTGAGGTATTAATAACCACCTGGACGCAATCTCATAACTGGCTTAAGTAGCCAAGAAGGGCAAGGGTCGAGTAAACAGGTGGTAGGGCGTACCATCCCAAGCATCTTGTCCAGATCCTCAGACCACAATAACTGAAACTCATCCAATAATGATGGACCAGATGGCATTCCGGACACCTCCCATACTGGAGTCATATCAACTGTGGAGTCCAGTTCATGGTGAATCTGAGCAATTTTCTCCTTAAAGTGCTGGGCAAAGTTGTCACAGCGGGCTGCCAATGGTGTGACTTCATCTTTTTCCTGGCCAGAGTGTATCAGGCCCTGTACCACTTGGAAAAGCTCCGCTGGACAGCACTAGGAGGAAGCAATGAAAGTGGAGAAGAATTGCCACTTTGCTGCCCTCACCACCACAGCATAGGCTCAATAATGAGCACATGTGTTCGCTCAGATTTGTCCCGAGATTTCATCCACTTGCTCTTTAATAGTCTCCCAACGTGCTTCATCGCCCGCAACTCAGGCATATGACATGGTGCCAAGCGGGCTCTGCTAGGTGGGAGAGGATGCTTAGGAGCGATCATGTTGCTTGCCCTGGTCATCTCACAATTCCATGAATCGACCAGGACATCAACAGGAGAATCAGCTTTATCTACCGGAAAATCCCCCAGAGCCCTCAGGAATCCATCTGGCTCTGGGGGCAGACCATCTTAATAGGCCCTGCACCCTTCCGGAGGGAGAGATCAGCCCTGAGCTCAAACCTCACAAGGAAGTGATCTGATCATGACAAAGGAGTTAAGGTCCAATGTCTCACTTTCAGACCACCCACTTCCAGTACCATCGAGAAAACCAAGTCTAGCGTGTGACCTCTTTCATGGGTTGGGACAGTGACATGTTGAGACAGCCCCATGGCTGCCATGGAAGCCATGAAGTCCTGAGTCGCCCTGGGCAAAATCACCTTGGCATGGAAGTTGAAGTCCCCCAGGACTAACATCCTGGGGTCCTCAACACCAGGTCCAAGATGATTTCCGTCAGGTCAGGCAGGGAATCTGCTGAGCAGGAGGGTGCACGGTACATCAGCAGAGTCCCTAATCTGTCTCGATCACCCAACAGCAGGTACAAACACTCTAGGCCTGGTCTCAAAGGAACAGGAAGCCCTGTGAGGGAAAAAGAGGCTCGGCAAACTAAGGCGGCCCCTGCTTTCCTCCCTTCTGGGCATGGCGGGTGTTGCACCAAGTACTGGGGTGGGCATAATTGTGAGAGGGAGACATCTCCCCCTTCTCTTGGTAATACATGCCCGATTGGCCCCCTCATCTATGATCAAATCATGTATAAGGGATGTTTTGCAATGGACCAACCTGGCGTTTAAAAGAACACCATCAGGCCTGAGGGCCGGCTGATATTGCTGCCAGGAATCTTCTGATTGGAGGAATAACCAGAAGAGGGGACTGGTATCAAACATCGGTTCCTCCTCCTCCTATGCTGGCCTTGTTAGACCCCCAATGCCATACCTTCCCCTGCCCATCATCACCCCAATGGTGGCGCCCCCATACTCCCCAGGTAAATCCATCCCGAGTTAAAACCAGATAATAAAACACCGTTGCACAAAAATAATAAAAATTGACCAGAACCCCTGGCTCAGTCCAGCCCATCTTGGCCCCAAATGGTGATGCCCGTTGCTGCGGCTGGGAAGAAGAGGGCTCAAGTGCGGCCCACCCCAGCCAACAGAGCTGCCAGCTGTGCAGAGGGGAGGGAGGGCGACAAGGGCGGTTCCCATGGAGGCCTTACCAGTGCAGAGAGAGTGGCAGTGGGACCTGGTTCCACCAGCAGCAGTGGCGATCGGCAGTGGGGACGGTAGGGCCAACCGCTTGGGAATGGGCTTGGGGCGTGTATCAGGCTGGTGGTGAAGTCTTGTTAGTCCTTGCTTGTAAAGCCATGTAATGAAACTGCTTTGAAAACCAACTGAAGATGAGTGATTGAAGTGATCTTTAAACTATGCTATGATATTCAGCTGGGCATAATGCTAAGTACGGCTTTCCTTGAGTACTGGGTGTGTCTGCATGGGTGTGTGCACATGCATGCATACAGCAAAAGAAATAAAAATCAGCACGACTGGACTCAGTTCAGATTGGTGGCTATGGGTACTGTCATGATGAGCGCCTTCACTTCAAAATGTGCCAGCACGGCACTACCAATGACGGGTGCCTCTTTCCCATTTTGCTTAGATATGTCTCTGCAGAGCAGTCAGCCACTGATGCCGCCAGTTGCCCAGGCAGCCTCCAGCAACAAATTCTTGGACCACCTTGAATCTGAGATCAGGAACCTCAATCTTTCCCAGCCCATGCTGCCTTTGCACCAGCTCAGGGGCAGTCAGCATCCCAGTGTTCTCTCTTCTCTGGGGTCAGAGATAGTGGAACGCAGAGTAATCCAGCTGCCTCCCATCATCGAACGTGTCTCCTCTCAGAGAACTACCAGCTCATCACGACTGCAGCAGTCCTTGCATCCTCCAAGGTCTCGGAGTGCCACAAGTGAAGAGGAGAGAGAGAGGAGGCGGCGGCTGCAGCGGCGCCGTTTATCTTTGGATGAGGATTCGCACTCCGGCTGTGATCAGGAGTCGTGGGACAGGCCCAGAGACTGCAGAGCTGAGAGGCAGAGGGACAGCAACCGTTACAACAGGTCCTGGACTTCCAGGGCCACTGGAACGCCCATCTTGCATGGGAGGGGCACTCTCAATTCCTCTCCTGAGGAAGCCAGAAGGGGGTATTCCGGGCAGCGGCATTCTGACAGAAGATATCAGCGTTCAGGGCAGCAGAGTCATCAACAAAGCAATGGCTATGATCGCCGAGGCCGCCGGCGCCATCGCAGCTATTCTCCACCCTCCCGTCGGGAGTCGTGGACTTCCTCTGATGAGTATGAGCATGCCCAAAGAAACATTCGGAAGCCTCACCAGCATCGCTCTTCAGATTGGCTGGAGGATAAACCCCCTAGTTATCGCTCAGTTGATATCGGCCCGGCCAAAGGCAGCAAGTCCAGAAACCCTCCAGAGCAACAGTCAGTAAGTAAGCCCTTTCTTGTGATACATATTAGCTTTTATATTCACGATAAAGCCAAAATATATTTTTTTCCATTCAAAGGCCAATATCTGTTTCTGGGCAGCTTTAGGGGGGCTCATTCCAGTGGTGGGCCAGGGCCAAAAGCAAAAGGAAGAGTGGTGGGCAGAAGATACTAAAATATTAAATTGCTGGCCAGTGTCAGCAATACTGGACTGGAGGCACCAAAGTCTGACTCATTTTATAAAGACAGCTTCCCGTGAGACTTTCCATCCTTAGAAAGGAAGTGCACAGTTCTAAATGTGCTAGCAGTTATCTTTTTGGGATCAAAGTTTGCATCTATCATTCCATTGATTAAATGTTGCTATGACTATTCTTGCTTCTTGCCCCGTTGCCAAGGCATCCAGCTGCAGAGGTCAGAGGAAACAAACGGTGTATCAGTACTTTATTTACTGATATATGATTATCATTACTATCTGAAGGGAGCAGATAATGCATTTGGAGCATAGTGAGTCTCCAGTCTGTATTGTATCCCACTTCAGCCAGAGAAAGGGTCATGAGTGCTTTCAGTCTGAAATAGCCTGTACAAAAAAGTCAGAGTTTAGAAGCTGATTAATTGCATTCATCATGTGCATTGTAACTTAACAGCTCAAAGAGCAGAAATGAACTATGACTTATGTGGTGTTGTGTCAGCCATTTCTGGTCTCTTACAGCATTTTTTTCCTCTCCTAGGAGAAAGGCAGTTCTCGCAGTGGAAGAAGCATTGTCATTTAGCTGTTCTGTTTTGCTACAGTGCAGAATGAGATAGCTTCGTTGGCCTGAACTGGAAATGGTAATCTTTTGGCTATAAAGGCAACCTGTCAAGCATGCAGGACTTCAAGGAATCTATTTCTCTTCACTACCTTCAGCCTGTGCTTCCTCATCTTGGGAACTTTATTTTTAATGTAATAGTATATGAAAAGGCATCACTTTGCTAATGACCTAAGAATGAAATGGAGCTCCTTTTTAAAATCATAGGCGCTAGCCTTCTAAAAAACTTGGTTGCATAGCTGCAAGCCTGTGCATATTTTTCTGGGAGTTTTCTGAGTAAATACACATAAGGTTGCACTGTTTGAGGAAGTTTTGTCATGGAGGCCATAATGTCAAAAGGACAGCATCTTTGGTACAGAAGTGATGCATGCTCACAAGACCCCATGTGTTATGGAGCTGATATAACTGACTGGATCATCTCTGCTATTAAGTACTTCTGAACATTCAAGCCCAAGTGTTCATATGGGATGTGCGGGAGGAAGGCTTCTGCTTGGTAAATATGATTATAATTGCGCTATTGATCGACTGAGACTAGTTTACATCCATTTTCATCAGAAGAAAAAAAATGTGCAATGTTGCTAATTATTTTTAATGGGCTTTGTACCTCTTTTTGCCCAGGTTATCTAAAATATCAATCATTCCCTAGAAGTACACAAATATTAGGCATTGTACAAGAGGTTTTAAATCGCTTTTGCACTAAACAGAGAGGTTATATACTTGCTGTGCGACCTACCCAAATCTTTAGATGTTGCCATGGATTCCTGAACTAGCTACAGATATATTATTAACAGAAGAATATGAATCTGTAACATTTCATTCTTTTATGGTGCTAGTTACCATCACTGACCTAGGATATTGCTTTTACTTTTGGGTAGTAAATCATTTCCACTGAGTCCAGTCTTTCCACAGAGGTGGCTCTGCTTAAGCTGAAGTAATTTTCAGTGATGCTGGTTGAGTCTGCCATTATTTACAAATAAGCAGGCAGACCAAAACTTTATTTGGGCATTTGGTAAACATGGATACCAATGCATGAAGTTGCTAGTGAGACCACATCAATTGGCTTCATCACCCAGATGTTGGTGCGTGCACTAACCATGCACACTCTGCCTGCCATGAGTTCATCTTCAGTCTGAAGGAGGGCTGTGATTGTAGTTACACAGGCCCATTTCATAAGGATGCCAAACACATATTAGCTGGAGGACACAAGCAGTACATCAGCATCCAGGCGATGGGGCTTGTCCATGACTTGGTGCTGTTCCTTTCAAGTCTTCAGTCCCCATGGACACCAAACAGCTCAACAGGGCTAGCCTCACACATTGAAGACAGCAAGAACTGGGGAGACTTGAATAACTACCCCTGAGAATGACAATGCTAATCCTGAATTGGTGGTTCTTGTTCTATCATACCTAGATCCTCCACCAGCAAACAAGCCCTTAAGGAGCAATTCCTTCCGTTCCACACCAATTCCAAGCATTCTAATGCCTGTAATTTGCCATTTTTATACCTACTGTTAGAGGCTTGACCTTTTCTCTGAACATTGCATTGTAGTTGCTCAGCTAGTCTGCAGAATTGTTGCCGTTGGATTTAGAAGCTTGTTTGTCAGTATCTAAAGGCAGAGAGCGCCTCTACTGGTTACTTATAACCAGGGAAACAGGTTCATTCCATCAGATAAAGTGGGATCAAGCTTATTTCAAAAAGTGCACAGTAGATAAGTTAGTTATCTTCTCTTACCAGAAAGAGAAAACGGTCATTGTTGGTTGTGGAGAGAACAAGGCATTTCATACTGTGAGTAGAAGGGTTAAGTAAAGGAATGAATGCATCATAAATTAATTTTTAACAAAATCCTGAGGAAATGTTGGAACTAACCTTTGCATAAACTCCAGGAAAGGAAGCTTGTATTTGATCAACAGCAGAGGAACTAAGTTGCTGTAAGGTCTGGGGCATGGGCAGCAGAAAGTGGAACAGAGGCACCAGGACACTGATAATACAGTCAGTAAATTATATGACCAAAATCCAGTCACCAGCCAAATCCAAGTTGTTACCCAGAACAAGGCAAGGTCAAACCAGGAGCAAACAGGCAAGCAAACAAAGCATAGGCAAAACTAGTCAGAGGTCAGGATGCAAGAAGATAGCATGAGGGCAGGAATATCTTTGGCACAAGATCAGGTTCCAGGAGCTACGTACATCAGACAGGATCCAGCGTCCACAGAGAGCTTCAGCGCCCTGCAGGCAGGTGTTGCTGAGGCAGCTTCTGGAGGGAAGAGCCACTTCTAAAATTGGTCTCCCAGATGGTGCTTTGGACTCTGAAAAAAACAAAATATTTTTGAGATATGCCACTACAAAGCAATCCAGCATGTCCTGGAGTACATCATTTATGAAATGTTGAAAGGTACTCAGCATTCCAGAGGCCAAAAGGCATAACTAGATATTCAAATTGCTCGTAATGGGTGTGAAGCACTGTCTTTCACTCATCTTCCTTTGTAATTCAAATTAGGCTATACCCCCACCTCCCAATTTGGTGAACACTCAAGCACCCGGTATCCACTTGAATAGCTCAGGAATGAGCAGCAGGGGGTATCTGGTTTTTCACTGTCATCTGATTCTGCTTTCTGTAATCAATACAGGGGCAAAGCCCTCAATCCCCCCCCCTTTTTTTGAGCGGGGGGGGCAAAACGATGGGAGCACCAGCTGGAGATGTAGATGAAATCCCAGGCCAAATTGTCATCCAGGTATTCATGAAGGGCCTCTAATTCTGGTGCAAAGAGGGTGTAGATTCTCTCAGAAGGAATTTCAGCTCCTGGGATCCAGTCCATGGGGCAATCATAAGGGCAGTGTGATGACAAAGTTCCGGCCCCTTTTTTCTCGAAGACATCTGAGGGCAGGGATATCTTTGGAACAGGAGCAACAGCAGACAGGATTCAGCCACCACAGAGCTTCAGCACAGTGCAAGCAGTTGCTGAGGCGGTTTCTGGAGGGAAGAGCCATTTCGTCAATAGTTTTTTCCCCAGGGCTCCCAGATGGTGTTCATGGGGGCCCTGGAGCTGCAGCAGAGTCTGGGAGTAATCCTGCAACTACCAGAACTGTTCTGGCATTTGGCCAGCAGGAGGAGCCCTGAAGCTGCCCAGATCCTGGCACTTGCAATGCGGTCTTACCTCAATTTGCTTTAAAGTTGGGAGTACTGTACCTCATTCATCCTATGGGGCAAATGGGGCTTTTTTAAGGGCCACATTCTTAAGGATGGGGCCAAAATACCCAAATACCAACATATTTTAGCTTAAAATTCTTACTGCTACCATGTAGGTATTAGGAGAAGCATTTGCACCTTTTCATGTGCAAGAACTGGGAAGACTGCAACCTATTGGCAGCTTGGGAAAAGAGTAGGTTGGGGCAGGAGGTATGACCATTTGAGGAATCCTGATGGGCTACATTTGGGTCATGGTTTGGTGGTTCAACACCTTTGCCCATGCTTCCCATTCAGAATACTAGCACTAATTACAAAGGAGGAAAAAAAACCTTGAAAGAAAGATAGTCAGTGGTTTTTTATGACAATGACTTCCTTAATTTTTACCAGGAGGCTGCTAGTCATGTGGGCTAGACATGCACATGATAGGCATGTCGTGAGTGGAGCCGGCTAGAGCCGGAGGTCAGACTAGATGGTCCAGGAGTCCGTTCTGACTCTCTCCATTTCTATGTTTCCATAAACTGTGTAGGCCTTGCTACATAGGGCTGCATCAGCCATGTGGTTTGAGAATGCTGGTAGAAGTGCCCGATGTGCAGGACAAGATGTGCTTGTATGCTTATGTTCAATTTGTTCATTTCAACGTTTTCCATGAACACAGAAGAGTAAGCGGAACCTACAATAGGTCACTGCATGGACTGCTCCTAGTCAGCCACATTTACAATCTTCCCGTGTGCGTCTTTGTATTCTCCTGTGCCCTGCAATTTTCCATTTTTCTCCAACAGTCAAATCAGCCCAATCTGTCATTGGGCTGTTTTGGTAAGGGGATCCACGTCTAAGTTTTGTTTCCTAAATATTTTTGGTACTTGGTGTTTCCCTGAACTTACGGTGACCCCTCTTTTGCATGTGAGTGCTTCTATTTTAGTTGCATAATGACTGGAACTTGTAACATTGAGATCACTATCAGTATGAATGATGATAATGTCCTGAATAGAGTAGTTTCTTTCTTATGCAATGTCCAGCATCTCTGGTCTGAAGTTCTGGGCACATTCATACATGCTTGTTCATCATGATACCTTATTAGATTGCTCACTTTTTAATGACACTCAGATTAATGCACAGACTGGTGCCATGGAAAATCTACACATGCAGATTATAACGTGTGGTTAAGAGTCAGCATGCATGGGTGAACAGAGGGCCCTAAATAAAGGTAATGTGGGTAATACTGAGATCCACTGTTGGGGAATGATTTCTGCAACAAACACTTGCTAGTCTTTCACTAGTCTTTCACTTTCCATTTTTGCAAGGCAGCCACAGAATTGCTAGTTCTATTTTTAAGAAAATACTTCTCTCTATATCAAATAATTGAGCTACAGAGATATGGGTTGAGTTTGGCTGGTTCAAATGGCTCAAAATCTGATAAAAGTTGTCATGGATTAAGTGATGTTACTTGAATGGATTGCATAAAATAACCTAGTTAGAATGTGAACAGACATGTTGAATTTGGTGTGAGGAAGCTGGGAAGTTATGTTGAAGAACCAGAATGTTAAACATAAGAATAGCCATGCTGCCTTGGCCCAAGATCCATCTAATTCAACATGAGGTTCCCACAGTGGCCAGCCAATTGCCCACCACAGTTCATAAGAAGGATATGGGTGCAGCAGCTGTTCCCCAGGGACTGGTGTACCTAAGCAACACTGCTGCTGATACTGGAGGTGTACCAGACATTCATCTTGACTAGTAGCCATTGAGAGTGTTGTTCTTGACAAATTTGTTCCATCTTTTAAAGTCATCCATATTGGAGGCCATCACTACATCTTGTGGAAGTAGATTCTGCAGTGTAACTATGTACTGACCCAGAAGAAGACCTTGCCTTTTATTGCATGACTGCTGTAAGTGAGCGCCTTTGCTTACATGGACTTTAGAAAGACCTTTCCAATGTTTCCCTGTCCACATGTTGATGGACGTTCTCAAAGAACTGCAGTGACTGTAGTGTTAAACTTAGACTGTGGAGACCCAGGTTCAAACCCCAGCTCAGTCACAAAGCCTACTGTGTAACCTTGGACTAGCCACTATGTCTAAGCATAACCCACAGCCCAAGACTGTCAGTCTAATGGAGATTATCATGTATAAACTACTTTGAGGAATGGTGGAATAATAAAACATAGGTGGTGTTATTCACACATGAAGTCATCAGTTTATGTTGTAGCCAGCAGAAGATGAGCATTCTTTCCAGTTCTGTAATTCTTGTATGAATTAGTCTCAAGATGAACAAAAAGGAGAAAGTTTGAAAACGGAAGGTTTAAAAAAATTCTAGGAAAAGACCTTGTTTCATGTCTTACATAAAAGATGTCTCTGTACAGATGATATGCCAGAATGAAATATGTTTATTTCAGGTATATGTTAAATAAATATTGCAGTCATATGGAGACTGATGGGTTCTTTTGCATCATTTAATATTTTTGTCACATGCAATAGAAAGGCACTTCTCAGATAACTAGTGTGCCAGGCAGAGTAAAAAATAACTTAATCTGAAATGTTATTTTCTGCTTATGGATTTGACTTTTGCAATGTATATGTACATCTTCTGCACACCTATGAGCTATGTTTCTGGAAATTCTCAAAATTATGCAAATAAAAGTCAGGTATGTGCAAAATAGTCTTTGAATACAGAGACCAAGCTGAGTTCATCTGGGATGCTAAAGGACAAGGAATAAGGATGGCTTCCAGGCTCAGTGTCCGTATGTGACACCCTATGTAGCTGCTGGGTCCCAGTGCCTGGCTAGGTCCAATGACCCCTACCCTGCTCCCTCTGTCCACCAATTGGATCATTATTTAATTTTTCCATAATTTCCTAGAGTGATACAACATCAAGCACCAGTCGACTTAGATGGTAACTCATGATAATGGCAGTTTAGCTGCCATGAGGCAAAGTTAAGTGGGCCCACCTAGATAGCAGGACACTTTGTTGAAGGGCCCTCAGAACTGGAGCAAATCCCAATGGTTACAGTTCTCATGTTATATTTTTGATCCTCTGGTTCAGGGAAGCAGTTCTTCCACAATGCTGGTTCTGGAGCCTACTCTTTGAACCCATGATGAATTCTAAATGTATCAATTTTTGTTTCCTCTCTCATTGTACACTTTTAACTCGCCTATCTCAGGTGGTCATATGTCCTCTTTACAGAGCACAGCCCTCTATTTGAAGGGCTAAAAGAAGACTGGCCTCTGTTTTGATGGAATCCTTTATTTGAGAGACTATGCAAGTCTAGTTTAACCAATAGAAGGAATCAATGGGGCCTTGAAGTTGCCCATCAACAGCATGGAGACAGCAGATTGAGCAAGGGACACAGGCCACCTGGTCACAGCCTTCCCTGCTGTAGTGAGATGAGGAATATTTCTATTGAAATTATAATACTAATTTCTGAATTTGCATCTATACATATAAATTAGCATATGGGAGTTTTATGGAAATTTGTGCTCCTCTTTTAGTAATGCATTTCCTCTTCTTTGGCCACCTTCCCCTTCAGTGAAAACAGAGATATTAATGGAAATACTCAGGAAAGCCCTTTTGCACACAAAGAAGAACCATTCTGCTTCCTCCAGTTTTCAGCAGAAACTACTAGTTTCTTAGTCTTTGTATTAATGAAAGCATGGCTTGCAAATCCACATTTGCTGCTCTGAAATAGTGAGCCTTCAGAGTCCATTTACTCAACCGCTAATGATGTTTAAAATCCCCATAAGCAAGCATGAAAAACAGTATGGGAAATCCATTTTGCAATCATATTTGACTGTCAAGACAAAAAGGTGCTTAAAAAGTGAGTAAAGAGACAAATTTGTGTCATTTGATTGTTGTTTTATATCCGATGGGACTTTAAACTTCTAGAAGTATCTCAGTCTCTGTAGTGAAAAAGCTGGCTTGGAACAAACAGACCTATGACCCTTTGAATATATTTCTGTTGTATTGACTGCTGGTGTTTTCAGAATCTAAAGCGACTAACGGAGAGAGGTAAGTGGGGAAAAATATTGTTCACTGTCCTGATATCTCAGGATGATGATATTAATAAGTATTTAAATAATAAATACCTTAAAATATTTTTATGGTATGTTGGTTACAGACTAATAATTATGATCAGTGAATTCTTTTGTTTCTCTAGTGATGTTGATTTATTACATATGTTCCACTTTTGCTGTATTTATTTTGTTAAATTCATTTAAAAATGTAATTTAAATGTCATTTTAAAATGTCATGATAAAAGGCATATTTATAGGGTTGGCTTGGGGGACTTTTTAAACTGATTTCTGCCCTGCCAGCTACTCCTTTAACTGTATAGTCCCAGAAGTGAATTTTACAGTGAACATGCAAGGATGAAAGCTGTTGAAAACATTCTGCTTTATTAAGCTATCCAAGAGTCTGTGTGGTGTGGTAGTTAGACTAAGACAGAGAAGACCCAGGTTCATAACACAAGGAGTGCCATGCTGGACAAAGCAAAGATCCAATACGTTCAGCATTCTCTTCACACAGCAGCCACACAAAGAGGACATGGGTGCCACATCTCCCCCCACCCCGAAACATGGCACACTTAGCAAATGCCTTCGAACTGAAGGTAGCATACAGCTATCGGAACTAGTAGCCATTGACTGCCTTCTCCATGAATTTGTTCAGTACCCTTTTAAAGCTATCCAGATTGGTTTCTATCACTGCCTCTTGTACAAATCCTCATTCCTTGGAGAACAGGTGGTGTGTAAAATAAATCAGTGACTCCCAGATGACAACACAATGTAAATAGGATTTCAATGCTAGCCTGAACAGTTTTTCCTAGTGAATACTTTAAGAAAGCCTATTTTGGGAGAATAGAAAATGTGTGCTTAATTGTCACAATATGTAGTTTTTGCATTCTTTTCAGCTCACCATTTACACTTGCCCCGGAACACAGTGTGTGTGCACACATGCATACACTTGCACCCACACATGCCCACAAACCTGGAATCCTCCATGTGTGTTTGGATTTCACCTTCTGTTAGCTCCAGTCAGTATAACCAAAGGTTTAGGAATACTGGGAACTGCAGTCAAGAACACCTGGAGGGCCCTAGACTGGGGAAGGCTGCAGAACAAATACAGTCCCAAGACCAGAGTAGCTGTTTAAAATCATGGCACATCATCACTGAGAATCTGAGAAATTTGCATTTATATGGTGAAGATGTTAGATTTGCCTTTGTCAGTACTGTGGTGATCAAGTATTATGATGGAATATATACCTTTAAAATTATTGTAGTAGTTGGGAAGCTGCTACAGGATTTCAGAAATAACATAAAAATATACCATTTTGAATTTTGCCTCCTAAATGCAATAGATTTTCATAGTGTTAAGATTTGGTATGCTCTAGTAGCATTGTGATATAGAAGATAAAATAATAAATACGTCATTGTTAGATATAAGATACAGTTGTATTCCCCTACAGTAAGCACCATTGAACAAAATTAGATTTATTTCTAAATGTAAAATGCAGGTAAAACAAAACTAGTATTATCTGAGCCCTAAATTCTGCAGCATTTGGTACCAGTTTGGTACATTCCAGCAACTAATATAGAAATATAGTAGGGAAACAAATTCTATAAACTACTGCATTTAGAAAGTTGAAAAGACTAGTACAAAATGTAAGTTGAGTTCAGCAATAGACGTGTGTGTATTTGCTAACTGATCTATGCAAGTATGAGACCAACATTATACTCAGCTTACAAAAAACATTTTCTTTTCTACAGAACTCTTTTAAAACTTGAATTATCAGGTTCTACTGACACTGTGACCTAAATCATGCTTCAGTCCAAAGTGTCAGCTGTTGTTTTCATCTTTCTCCTTGGGAGTATGCTGACTGGTAAGATCCAAGGGCCTCCAGTCTAGTTTCAGATAAGTTTGTTTAATTTAGTCAACATAATGTAATTTAAAGGATTCATACCTCACTTTTCAGTAGAAAAGACACTCAAAGCTGCTTACAGAGCTATAAAAATTGTACAATTTCAGTCTTAGCATTTGAAAAGACATGACATATAAGAGTTGGGTAGATGAAACAAAAACAAGCAAATTAAAGTACCTTTGTTTATGCCATAATAGCCCCACTCAGGCACTAAAAATCAGAGCATAGTAAACATGGAGGCACCCTAGGCCCACCCTCATGTATAGGGTTTTCATCACTCTACACATGTGGAAGTTGACTTTCTGAACTGGAGAGTCTTCTCTAAATAGGAGGCTCTCCATGGTACTTATAGCCCTAGAAAATCAGGGTAGAAAATCACATGGAAAGCATCCAAAGATGTGTGCTTCAGATACTCAGCAACTGCCTACCTTTTTTTTTTTTTTTTTTTTGGTGTCTTGGCCTTGAGATTTGAGCTGTGGATTCTGGCCACTCATCATCCTCATCTGCAAGGATGAGGATGATTCAACATTCATATTCTGTAGTTCCACAGCAAATGTGCAACATCAAATATTCTCCTGAGATCTCCTCTCTGCTCCTGCCAAGCTGCATTTTCACTGGACAGGTGTTTTCAATCATCTAGTGGCAGCATATAAGAGAGCAAGAGAAGAGGCTGGAGCAGTTTTAGGGTATGTCAAATCCTGACTCCCCACACTCATCCCCACCACCACCACTACTCACTACTCTCCTTGGGGAGTAGCTGGCATGGTTCTTTCTACAACAGTGCAAGGGTGTGTGAGTTGTAAATGGGGGTTTAAATTCTCAGCTCAAAGATTGGAATGCATCTCCAACCTCAAAGCTGGGAGTCCAGCTATCCTGTGCCTTAACTCAGCAATGTCTAGGGGCCATAAGATTGTTCCCTCCACAGATTAAATGTACATTCTAAACCCCAACCTGCTATTCATTGAGTAGCTTGGAGAATTGGTTTATTTCTTTATATGCAGTAACCTAGGATTTCAGTAGACCCTATCTAGTATTCATTGTTAGACTGTCTTTAATATCTTTCATCAAAAATAAGAATAAGTAATATCCCTATAGCTGTGGTGCAGATACCATGATCAAGGCCCACTGACACTGTAGAGTAGCCTTCCCCAACCTGACTCCCTCCAGATCTACAAATCCAGGCTGGCTGGGGATGAATTTAATACCAGCATGGATTGCATTGGAATTTTACCATCTTCTGTTTCTTTTTAGAAGGAAAGCCATCATCCTGAAAGATGAATTAACTACCCACCATACTTTAAATACACATAGGAAGCAAAACGTTGCACTTTAAAACTACTGTTTTTATATTTGAATTGTTTTAAGCTTTCTTGGGAGGTTTTCTTGCACTGAAATGCGGGGCATCTTTTCATTATTAAATTACTTAACATGCCTTTTAGCTATATTTTTCCCATCAAATTTTGTCCATGGAGAAGAAAGCCAGTGTGTCATGGCAACCTGCAGAGGATCAAGCATGCCATGAGTGTTCAGTCACAGAGTTTTTGTTGCTCTGGTTGAGCTGCTGGTGGTGGCGGTGACAGCGACTTCCTTCTTACTGGATTGGGTTAATATGAGGAAGTGGTTGGAGCACAATTTTTAGTTTTCAAGTAAAGCTTTAGGTAATTTTGCAAATCAATCAGTTAAAGCTTGCAGCCCTGTCTCATTTTTAAATAATTTAAATGTAACTGTAAAGTATGCAAAGTTGTCATCTCACACACACAAGAACCTTGCGAAGTAAGTCTTTTCTAATTACTAAAATATAGGGGCTGTTCATATATAACATGGTTTTTGGCAGCAGCTGATGGATCAATTGCAGAAATGCATGGAAATCATTTCTTGTGTCCAGTAACAATCTCTGAATACTACATTTAAGAATGGTTTCTGCAGTATTGGAACCTGTGAACTTGGGATTGTTTGTGAATAAACAACCCCAATTTAACAAGTCACATGGCATTCAAGGGTTGTTACCTCAAACAGGAATTGGCTCATGCATGGCTTGTGTGCCTAATTAACCTCAAACTGCTCGTAAAAGTTGCTGTTATGTTCAAACATGGTTTTTAGGAAGAACTGTCTGGTCCAACTGCAAACTCAAGGCATATAACCAGGATGGGCTATGAAACCAGATATATACCCTAGCATACACCTTAGCAACCTTTTTTCTATTGTAAGTGGGATTCCTATATGGGTGGATGAACCTTTTTCTCCTTCTTCCTCATTTATCTCTCTCTGCTACTTTCTTTTCTTTCTCTCCCTCTTCCTTTCTTTTAATAGACTGCCAGGGTTGGGACAGATTGGTCTTGCCAATGGTCCGAACTGATTTCATATAGAGGGCATTTGAAATTAAGCTGAAGGCCATAGGTTGCCCACCTCTGCATGTTGATTTGTGTTTTTTAAATATTTCTAAGCTGCCTTTCAGGGCAGGAGTACTCTCAAGGTAGCTTGTGGCAATAAAATCCTGTATACTAAAAACCAATACAGTAATAAAAGAGCAGAGATGCATAAAACAAGAAACATCAGCAATAACACATCTGGCCTAAACAATACTCAGAATTTACAACACAGTTGAAACTACAAACTGGAACAGTCCACTGGAAACATATTCAGGGAAAGGCCAGGGTAAAAAAAATATGTATTCAGGGTCTCCTTAAATTCCTGCAGTGATGGGGCCTGACAGCAAACCATGCTAAAAGTGTGGAACCACTGTAGAAATGCCCTACCCCTCTTGTGTATTTGCCTACCTTACAAATGTGAAGAGCCTCTGCTGTTGATATGAAACTGCAGATAAGCTCATGTGGGTGAAGACTGTTCTTCAAATTATTTGCCTCAAAGCACGTAAAGCCAAAAACAGCCCTTTCAGTTGGGCTTGGAAAACCCTAAATGCTTCCCTGCTGTAGCAGCGCATTACTGTAGGTAAGGATGTATCATTTTCTTAGCTGATACTGTGCATGGATCATGACAGGACTGTGTGAACATGTATGTGTGCACCATAATTTTGATTTCCCACCCCACCCACTTTTCTCTTTTCCAGAAGCTGATGCTAAGCCCATCTCAAAGAGGCATGTCCGCCGTGATTGGTTGATCATACCTGACACAATTGCACTGCATTTATATAATTCATTGAACAAAGTGAGCCCTAAAGCTGCTGAGTTTGTGGTTGAGGTTGCCAAGGCTCTGCCCATTCTTGAGATAAGGTATGGGTGGTGATAATGATGGCCGTGCATGTTTCTTTGGTCATTTCTGGAGCTGGCTGGAATAGGGAAGTGTGAAATGCAGGAATGAGAGGGTAGAAAGGAACTAGCTACAGGGCCAGTCATACCATTAGGCTTCCCCTGTGGGCAGCATAGATGCTGGCAAAGATGGAGAGAGAAAAATGATTGGTTTGCATTTTAATATGAAGCAGCCTAATGAACATTTCTTCGACAACTGTATAAACTGAAATGCAGAAGTCCTATTTTTGCACTTTGTCCAAAGTTTGTGATGTAATTCTCCAAGTAAAAATGCAAAGAAAAATGTGTGCATTGGAACAATGTCCAACTTGATAGCAACCAAGACTGATTATTGTAATAGCTTCTTCCTTTCGGTGTTACACATTCTTGGTTCAAGAATAGTGACAATACCAGATGGGAAGCATTTTGGCATAAATTGTTTGAAACTGCTGGCTATCATTACCTGCTATCAGGACAGTTATCTTCCTAGCACAAACACTGAGAAAATGCTATCTACTCTATGTTTGTTGGTTAGCAATGGTGAATTACTATCTTATTCTTGTTGTTCTGGAAACATAACCACTATATTACTGTACTGAATCTTGAATACCACAACAAATGGGTCACAAGTATCCTTCAGCAATATCAGTTCATCTGGTAGTGGTAATGGGGAGAAACTAAAGGTGTACGTGTGTAACAAGTTATGGAACCCCTTCAACACAAGACATTGGCTTAGATATCTTTTTTGATTTACAGTGAGTTTTCCCATTCAACCTGAGGGAAGACCTAGCCTTTAGTGGCTGACTGAACTTTTTCCCAGATGTATTGGGCTACAAATCCCATCACATCCAGAATGCTGGCTAGTCGTGATGGGAAGTTTAGTGAAACTCATCTAGAAGGCAACAGGTTGATAAGGTTGATGCAGGGTAGTTCCAGAACGGATTGTTAATGGCCAGTTTTGCAAACAATATGACAGTTACTTTTCTGACGATGCCAAATATGTAATGTTTTCCTCCACCTATCTAACATAGGAGTTTATTTCTGACAGGAACTTCTTAATTAAAGAAACAGCTCGTATCAGTGTGCTGGCTGAACAGCTGGCAGAAAAAGCACGTGGCCTACGGAAACAGGAAGTAAATGAACCAACACTGCAGTAGAACCAAATGTGTGCTGCATCCTCTCTGTTTTACATACTCACAGTAAGATATCAACAGTGTGCAATTTTTGACAATGTCACTAGAGGGGGTGAGTAGCCCAGCTTCAGTGTGGCGAGCTAACATATGGCTCTCTTCCCAGAAGAATCACTTCAGCTGTGAACTCTACTGATTTATCAGTCAATTATTTTTATTCTGCAATCAGCCATAAGGGCTCACAGTTAACTAAATTGTAGCAGTTTGTATCCTTGGCATTTCATTAACTTTTAACTTCACTGTTTATCCTTCCCTCCCTGTCATCTAACCTTGTGTATAGCTGCCCACCAACTAAATAAATGTGTCAGCTTTAAGGTGTTGTGAGATCCTTTGCTGGTTTTGCTGCAATAGGCTCTGGAAGATGTTCCAACAACAATGCAATGGTCCAAGGGTCAGATGCTGGTGATGTAAGCACTGCCAGGAACAGGGCAAGGTCAAGAAGGATAGGCTGCTGGTACCTAGCAGCACAGGGTCAGGATGGAGTCTGGCAAGGGTGAATAGGAACAGGCTGGAGCTAGGCAGAGTCAAGTAGGCAGGCAGGGTCAGTCACGAAGGCAGACTGGTGGGAAGGTGGGCACTTGCAAGGATTTAGTCCAAGGTGAGGCTAGACAAGTGGAGAGTAGCTATTTCAAAGGCTCATGTCACTGTGGCAAAAAGGAGCAGTGCAGGGAAGCCTTTTTTGCAAGCTTTCCAGAGCTTCCAGTTGCTCCTGTTCCCTGGAAGTACCTACAGGTGTGCTCCTAGTTCTGCAGGTACATGCAGGATTAATCAGGCTCTGATCCTGACACTCACAAATATATGTGCACTTGAACTTTTCACCTGTCTTTACCCTTCCTTGACCATAGACCAGAAACTTTCTCACTTATCTTCATCAAAGATATGAATATTTCTCTGAGCCCACAGGGATCAGGATGCTGTTTGAAAGGTAACCACAACCCTGAGAGTAATGTGTAAGGGGATTTCCACAGATATTTGTTTGAAATATTTGGTTATGGTTTTTATTGTGTATTAGAAAATAAAACCTAAGTGGCACAGTGAGAAGAAAGTTAAAAATGAGATAAGAAAATGTTAAATGTTACAGTTTCTTACAGAAGATGTAAGGAAATTCATACTACTAGCTACCCTTCTGGAAATCACAGATAACCTCCACAGATAATGGTCAACATGCCTTTTCCTACAGATCTAGGGATACCTAGCATTAGGAGAAGACAGTGCCAACAAGGGAGGCCCAGATCCAAATAAACCCCCTTCTTTAGCTCAAAGCTTAGTGGAGGTAGGGTGATGGAGTTCATTCCCTCATTATGGCAAAGCCTAATCAGGGAGCACTCTCTGCCATTCTTGATTTGGCCATTCAAAAGATCAAGGGACAAAGCCGAATATTCAGAACCTGAATTATTGTTGTCTGTTTTAAATTAATACATAAGAACAATATTTAACATAATGTTGTCATGTGCTGCCAAGTTACTCACAACTTATGGCAACCCTATGAATGACCTTTGGAATATCTTACTACTGATGACCCTGTTCAGTTCTTGTAAGCTCAAGGCTGTAGCTTCCTTCATGGAATTGATCCATCTTCCTCTTCTTCCTTCAACTTTCCTTGGCATTATTAATGTAGTATTATATAATGCACATGTGTGTGCGAACACACACAGAAACCTGAACTTTTCACTTGCCTTCCCCTATGCCTTTGTCTACTGACCTTTATCACTTACTGTCATCACAGTTTCAAAATGTCTCCTGAAACCACAGAAATCTATTTGAGAGGCAGCAAGAATCCTTAAAGTAATGTGTGGGCTGCTTCTCATAGACAATTGTTAGAAATGTTTGGGGATTTTTTATTATGTATAGAAGGAAGAGAAACCTGAACAGCAGAGTAAGTAGAAAAGGGGAAATAAGTAAGAAAATAGGACATTGTACAGTGTTCTTACATGGGATTTAATAACTAGGTGTATGCATAGGGAGTGGGGTATCACTCAGTGAAGGCTGTACTGATAGATACATCCATTTCTGAGGAGGCAGCAGAGGAACAAGTGGCAGGGACTGACTAGTAAAGTTTCTCAGGCAGAGCATGAGAATCTGCCTGTCTTGGAAAGGGAGGAAGGTTGTTCGAGGTGGGAAGCAGGTACAACAATAACTTCCTGACCTAGTCAGACAGCAGTGGGAGAAAAGCGTTGCCCAATTTCACAGTCTCAGGAATTCCCACCATCTAGCTCTGAAGAAGTAAGAGCCACCAGAAACTTTACTGAAAGTATAAGACACAGAGGAAGGTTTTTTCCCCATTTAAATTCAACTTTTTACATGGGAGATACTTCTAGCTCAACTTTTGTACAAGGCTATTTAGAGTTCATACTGATCTGTGACCAGTTAAGTTTCATTAAAAGAATTGCACTTGACAGGTATTGTTTTGACTTTGATAAAAAGAAGAATAGAGAGAAGGAACCCACTCACGACAATGGTTAACATTTCCCTATGTATTTTCTTTATTGAAAAAATAAACTTCAATGAAGGTAATATGGAAGGAAGGTATCCATATATCCATCCATCTGTAAAGACCACTCATCCAAAAAGCAAGAGTTTCATGAAGTGCTCCAACCTCTGTGTTACTGCAGATGGCTGTTTATCCTTTCAGTGTTATATTATTGGTATTCTAGCTGTCAAAGGGTGTGTAAAATCCATTTGCATTAACTTTATGTTAAATTCTAAGAGAGGTAGGAATTAAAAAGGATATATGTATCTCTGAATATAAAGAGTTTTCCCTCACAAAGCATCTGAGTCACTACCTCTTTCCAAAAGGAAGTTTCTGGAAATACTGAGTATAAATAAAAGTGCATGATGTAAAACATAAATAATTTGAGGTACTGCATTCATATTCCATATATTACTCTACCCCACAGCTTTAGCTTTAAGGATGCCCATTCATCAATGTCCCATCAGATCTCATTAATCAAGTGTAATGTCTTTTTGTAATATATCTCTCTAAGGATTGGTAATGCCATATAGGTAATGAACTAGAACAAAATCTACAATGCCAGTTCACACTCCATGGCATATATTATCTCCAGTCAACATCAATTCAGACTATGACCAGTAAATAGAATAGTAAAACAACTATCCAAAATTATTAATCATCAATATCAAAGCTACACCAGAATAAAAATAACTTTCTGCACAAATTGTGCACAAATCCATGGATATGAAGTTATTGTCAAATAGCACTTGCCATGGGTTCCAAACATAGGTTGAATATTAATGGAGAAAGAGGACGTCCCTGTCTAGCACTTGTCCCAAGGTAAGAAAAGCAGACCGAAAAATTGGTGTGAACTCTAGTTGTTGGGATTTCTTATAAAATTTTAACCCATTTCTGAAATTCTGGAGGAAAACCAAAGTTTCCCAATGTGACAAAAAATTATGTCCTATAAATTTTGTCAAAGGCCTTCTTTGCACCCAAAGAGATATTAGTGGTTCCATCTGTTCTGCCTTTATTTAATGCAATCAAATCCACAGTGGATTCTTCTTATATTTCATGCAGACTAGTCAGAGCATAACCCTTTGGAAAGGAAAGAAGGGGATGATTTTGGCAATCTGATTCAAGTGTATCATCATCAATCCTGCCACTGAACAAGTAAATTTTACATTCACCAGGAAAAGCTGGCTTGTCATAGGAAGGTTTTAATATATTCTCCTGTGTAAATAAAAAAATACAAGCATTTTGTTAGATCTAGCTGTCCTTGCATGAGGAGCTGCAAATAGAAAGTTGGAAGTTCAATATTTATTGACCTATTTACACTATTTATATTCCATTCCACATCTATTCCACAATGGTAAATAAATAAAAGGAAACACCTGTATAAGAACCTGTATATTGAATATCAATAAAAACCTATGGCTGATCAAACAAGGAATTATGATGTTTTCATACTGGAATAAATTGTGTTTTGAATCTCTTCAGGATACTGTTATTGTCTTATCATTATAAATACAAGTCAAATCCTTGGCACTATGGCTTGATTAGGAATGCCTGAGGCTTTTGTTCAGTCCTTTTTTCAAAGCCAACTGACCCTGAACCATGAGTCCTAAACTAATGCACAGACCAAAACACAGCTATCCTTTGGGTTCCATACGTCTCCGCATTTTGTGATCCATTCTCAGCTCAAAAAAGTATTAAGATGCATTAAAATATCTATTTTGCATTTAGAGATGCACACTTTTTGAGAAAATATATTTAGATATGCTCAGGATACATAACTAAAATATTCTAATACTAACCAGAAACAGTTCTTGTAACACAGGTGGTGTTCACTGGTGGCGGCGGCGGTGGTTTCACTGACAGGTGAATCCAGACTAGCAAATGCATTGACAATGTGATCAGTGTTTTTAACAACCAGACTCCATGTGCATCTGTGTATGTGTGTGTGAAAGCCTTGAAATCGTTTAATGTATTGAATTCATCTTCATCTTTTAAATATTGATAACAAGGTTTAATTATTCAGGAGCACTAACACTGCTTGCTTTGAATGTTTGATATATCATTTATGTATTTATGTATTTATTTAATATATTTTCCCAATAGCCCAAAGGTTCTCTGATGTAGAAGGCTGTCTGATGCAGAACTTTTGCAGTAGTGTAATGGCTTTAATGATATTGGGTAGTATCCAATATTAGTTCTACATAGTGTTGCTATCATTCATTTCAATGGATCTACTCCAAGTAAGACTATCATTAAATAAAACCCATTATTTTAAAGAACTGTTAATAAAAACATTTCATTTATTCTTAAAAAAAGGAATGCTGCACAAGAGCTTTTGCAATTCCCCAGCACACAACCCTTCCAAAAAATGTGCGGAAAGTCCCAAGAATTTTTTGTGTGTTGTTGTTGTTGTTTTCCTAAGAACTGATGATATTACTGTGCCCCACCTTGTGAATCTCAGGGATTAAGATGCTGCCAACTATGGAAGCCTATCCAGAAAAAATACTTCTCTAGTTCTCTTGGTGGCATGGCAGTCAAATAAGCCACAAACGGGAGTTTTGGATACTTTTACACTAGCACAGTTATATTCCCCTGTATTGCATGCAAGTAAGTATCATTTCATTTTGATACATGGGAAAGGAGCATAAAGTGATAGATTTTGCAAACAGAACAATATGGTGAAACTTTATGCAGTATATATTTTCAGTGCTTTAAAACCTTGTTTATAAATCACAATTTGAGCCTTCCACTTATTTTACTTTGGAGACATACCAAAATATAACTGTGTATGTAACCACTATCTGAGAGGAAAAAGAACATTTACATGTAAGCAAATAT